AATCATGGCTCTGAGGCTGTAAGAGTGGCCAAGAGTTGTGCATAATGGCAGGGGAGGGCAGCCTTTTGGCTGTTGCAAATGCTCTCATCAGTATTGTGCCTCTGCTGATCTTATTTCTTTCTCTGCCACTAATTTTTCCTTGTGCTCCTTTGAGCTGACGTATTGTTGGTGGAGGTTTTGTTTGTTTGATTAATCTGCTCTGTTTTGCTTTTAACTCCTCACCCTGTGCTGCAGAATGACACAAATAGGAAAAACATTAACAGGAGTAACAGGGCTTCGGTGAATCTGGTGGATGCCCGTGACATTAAACCCCAGCCTGTTGACTCCTGGGTCTAATTTGCATGCATGGTAGGTCCTTTTAATGGTAATTGGTGCTAGTGATTAACTTGTCTTGTGCATGATCTGTATCACTGTGGAATCTCTCTAAGGCTAACTGCTAACTGGGTCCTTTCAGACAAATGAAAATGCATTTGAAAAAGAGTGGTGTTTATATTATTCAGTGCATCTTTAATGAAATGCAATCAAAAACTACTTTTTGATTAAAAAAAAAAACCTGTCAAATAACTAGACAGAAAATTAATATCTTGAATGATTGGGTGTCAGCTGAAATGTGAAAGATTTATGCTTCTAGGCCATGGGAATGAATTTGAGTAGTATGTTCCTTCTTTCAATGATTTTTTTCCCTCTAGGCTCATTATAAGGATTAGCCCGAGACTTAAAGAAAAGCATATCCTTGACTATTTATGGATGTCTCCTGAGGTTCCTGTGAATTACACAGCCCTGCCCATCTGCAGGAAAGCTGGTGGCCGTACACAGTTACTTTGCAAGAGTAGAGGGAATGTGGGGAGTGATTTTGGTTACAGGGTAAAAGTTGGACCACAGCTCCCACTTCCCAGATCCTTCCTTCTCTGGCCCAGCTTTTTTTTTTTTTTTTTTTTTTTTTTTAAAAAGGCTCCTTTTTTTCCGCTTTCTAGTTCACTGCCATCTCTGTGTGCCAACTTCCTTAGTAATGTCACTAGCCTTGCTTCATCCTGCTGTCTTGCTGGATAGCCCTCCACCCTGGTTATACCTTCTGGCACTCCATCAGTTGTGATGCCACATCTGGAACAGCAGGTTTTGTGCCCCTGGTTATGGCTAAAGGAATATCTTTGACTGTTGTGAAGGCACTGGGCAACTTTTCTATCAGAGTTGGGCCTTAAGGCCCAACTTCCAGATTGTGCCGCCTCCTGCCTCCCTAATGCTGCATGGAAATCACTTTCACTAGTGGGAAGGAAAACCCCTGTGTTGTGGATTTGTTTGTTTTCTTCTTAAGAGTATAGTGTAAGTGCCAAGTGCTTACAGCTTGTTTCTGTTTCCTGGTTGGAAGCACCTGGCCAGAGCAGTATTACAACACTGCCAGGTGTTACAATACTGCAACACTGCCCTTAAGTAGCCACAAGAGCTGGCCCTGGCGCTGCTGGCTTGCCACAGCTGGTCTGCAGTGTGTGGTCAGCCTTGTTGGCCCAGCCAAAGGGCAGGTATAAATGTGTGTGCATAGTGCCTGTGCACTTCCATTCCTGCACTCTTCCTCTTAGCAATGAAGGCTTATGGATAGGATACAGACTTAACAAATGAAGTCTGTGCTCCCGTTCTCCCTCTCCTAACCCTTTAGGAACTCCCTATGTTGGTGCTCTGTTGGCATTTCCAGCCACTGTCCTACCAGTGGCTGATGGATATCGCCAAGGATATGTTACTTGCTGGTATTAATCAGTTCTGACTTTATTTTGCAGGGCTAGAGTCCAACCACTTTTTTTTAATTGAGGGGGGAAAAAAAAAAAAACACTGAACCGACATGGAGGATTTCATCAGTCACCACTGCCATTCAGACTTGGAAGGCGCTGCATCACTGACCAGGCTGCAGATTCTAGGAGGGCATGGGGAGAAAACACAGCCGCCTGCCGTCGCCAATGCCGGAGCACCATGCCTTACAGCGAGACAGTTTGCTTTTTGACTCAGTCCCAGCAGACATAGCCGCCTCCCCCTCCCTCCCTCTCCTGTGAGAAGAAAGCAAGCAAGAACTGAGAATCCAAGCTTCCATCTAGCTGGCTGCCTTCTTAGATGACTCTTACGTGCGGATGGTGCCAAGTATGAGAAGCGAAGGTCATGCGGCAGCAAAGAGGACAACTTCACGAGTGAAAGAGATACTGCAGAATATTTGAAATATCATAGGTGTAGTCATGAAGATAATAGCACTTTTCTGGTTTGGGGCTCTTTCTTTGTTTTGGGTTTTTTGTTTTGGGTTTTTTTTTTTTTTTAACTGTGACTCTAACATTTTTAAGGCTTTTCGACAGATGTTGAGGGTTTTTTTCATTATTTCCACAGGAAGTGCAGGAATGTTGAGTGGGTATGTTGGATTTCAATCAAAGGAGAAAATACAGAACAAAAACTATTAAAAGCTGGTTGAATGAACTGGAGAGTAGATGACAAAATTGCAAGCTGTATAATCTGCTTTTAGAGTAAGCTATATCAATCTCAGTGCTATATTATCATTATAATCTGGTGTACAATACTTCTGCCGTTTGAATTCTGTAATGGCTCTGTTTTTACTTCCACGTACAACAAACAGTTTATTGAAGGTTTTGATGTCCCCAGTTCAGAAATCTCTGCTGAGAAATGGAGTTGGCTGGCTTTTTATTTTCTTTTTCTCAAAGATTGCAGTAAGGAGCTTTGGCATTTTAAATGTACCAGTGTTGCATTGATGATGATTTATTCTCTAACATTACTACTTCTGCCATAGCTGTTAACACATTGGAAGAAAACAAGAGCTTCTTTGTAGAATGTTTTGTTTTGAAAACACTATAAACTTTAGATGGGTCTATCATTTATATTTGATGGTAACTCGATCACTGTTGGATCTATGTTTGCTTTGAGCTATATACATCCTTGATGAAAAATGCCACAAAGGGAACTAGTTTGGAGTTTTGTAAATCATCATCCTGGTTTCTGTGTTGCTGTGGTTTTGTTTTGAGATTACATATTTCAGTTGGTGTGAAAATCACCCATGTGCAAAGGTTCTCCTCTAAGGTGCCGAGGCCTGCTCTGTGTAAGGGGGAATTTTTACCTTATGAGACCATAATCTGCATATACAGTGTCTGGAAATGCCGTGAACTAAATGACTTCAGATCACTGATTTTCTCCAGGCATTGGTCAAGGAAGGGCAGCAGATGAGAACAGGAAGTGAATGTCTCATTAGTAGCATTAGATGCCTTTTGCTGGGTTGTTTTTTTTTTGGCCATTATTCTTTGGTTGCCACATTTATTCCTGAACAAGCTCCTAAAAACAGTGTGACTGGAAAGCACATTTTTTAATCTGGCAAATGACAATTTGGGGTTTTCAGTGCCTGCCGATTCCTTTATACTTAAAAAGGGGAAATACCCAACAACCTCACCTCCCACAAAATATTACTGTAATAGTAAACACCTAATTTTTTTGTAAAAAATTAAAAAACTTTAAAAAAAAAAAAAGCAAGTACCAAGAGCTTTGTATCTTCTTGAGTATATTAAAAATTTGACATGAATACATATATATAAATAAATAAAAATATCTATATATCTATATATATATTGTTGTGCAGAGGATAGGTTGACAAAACCATGTTAAGTAGTTTGCAGGAGAAGGATGCATTTGTTGATTCAGGGAAAAAGACTGATGCCAGAAGCTGTCAATGATTTGGATGATACATGTGCTCCTTTGCCCCCTCCCTTTCCAGACCTTCATCTTCCATGCATGTTGCAGTGGTCACTTCTGGATCCTAGGGAAGGTGAAGTTGCTGGGAGCAAACTAAGATAGCAAAGATCTGTCTTTTCACCTGCATGAGAGTCCTTTTGAGCCAAAGATGCTCAGTGGATCAAGGGAAGCAAAGAGATATATCTGTGATTATCTGCATTTGTGTCAGGGGCAGTGTCTCTCTATGTGTAGACATAAAGTGTGGCAACAAAACCAGATACATAGTTTGACTGTATATTCTATCAATGGTGCTCTTTTCATACTTGTTCTGCCAATACGCGGAGACCCTTTTAACCAAGCTACACAAAAGAGTTTTATATCACTTTTGGTTATGTACTTGGTGTATTCTTTTTGTATATGAAAGGATTTTTTTAAAAACGTTCAGTAATTAGCAATGGAACCTGCTTTGTAGCTGATTAGAACAGCATAAGAGAAGGGCCGTGCTGTCAGTCTGTCCCTGATCTACTACTTCAATCCATATATCTACCAAAGGAGTCTGAGCAAAAGTTCACTTAAAATAAAGACCTGACTGTTGAAAGGAGTCTCTGCTAAGACTTTGATTTAGTTATTGTACAACTATTCCAAAGCTAGCAAGAGGTTAACGGAGAAAACTGCGGGGGTTGGGGGGGGTGGGGAAGTGATGTGTCTAGAGGCTAATAGTCCATGACCTCCTAACCCAGGTATCTCATGGCTCTCAGTGGGGCAGTAGAGTGATGCTCAAAATCTGGATCGGAATCTACTTTGGCCTCTGTCATTAATGGGCCAAGCTAAAACCATTGAGGAGTATTTGAGAAGCAAATCCAGAACCTATCCCACTTCTCCCCCAAAGTTGTTTTTGTGTTTATACTGCATCCTGTGATAGCAGACCTCCCTATATCAGGTTAGATGGAACTGGCTGCCTGGGGTCGTTGTAGCAAACTGCTCCTCTTTGTTTTCCTGGGTACAGTGTTCATGGCACCCAGGGTAGTTGAGAGTTCACAACATGGATTACTGCTACATAAAAAAGATGGTATACAGAGAGATCAACATCAAGTCCATGTGCCAAGACTTCTGGGAATCATGTCTTACCCCCCTCCTTCCTGTGCCTCACAATAATGATTAATTCCCAAGTATGTAGCAATAACCAATAACCCATCAATTGCACTGCAGTGACTTGCCTTTCTCCCCAAACTGTTGTTTGGAATGATGAACAAGGAAAGGGGGGTGGGGGCGACTCTAAGTGAGACTGTCACTTTGTATTATCAGCCCACCAGCCAAAGGCCAAAGTAAGAGCTTTGAACCTGGTGAAATATCTCATGTTCTTCTTATCGGTGGCCAAAAGCTCACTTGTGGAAAGCCCTGATGGGATGTGTGCCCTCACCTGCCTTTACCTCTCCCCTTGTTGGTGCAATGTGTCTGGGCTGTTAGGGCTGTTCTGGGAGGTGGGTGAATGAACCGGTAAACGTTGAGTTTATTTTAGCAGCAGGGATCGTATGTAAAGAAGGGAAAGCGGCAGTGTGTGTGCGTGACTAAAGCTGCAGTAGGGTCTAGAGTCCCCTGCTAAAGGCAGACTGTTTTTTAGGGCTCTGGTATGTGACCTCCTGTTCTCTTGTTGGCTCCACTGTGAAAACTGGAAGGAATCTGCTAGGTAGAAGGGATTTTTACCTACAGAATTTCTAGTGGGAGGGGTGACTGTGGAAGGAAGAGACAGTGTTGCAGGACTCCTGTGAAGAGGAGAAGGGAATTTGTTGGCCCAGTAAGGGCTGAGATAACATGGGAGAGGAAGGAGACTTTTGATGGTAAATAACTGCAGAACTTTGTTCCCTAGGAGGTGGCTTGTACATCTCCCAAGCATCTTCACTAAACTATGGAGACTTAAAAAAAAAAAAAAAAAAAAAAAAGGTACTTAATGTTGGTGAGGTGGCTATGAGTCAAGACTCCCCTGCTGAAGCATCAAGTTGAGTGTGAGCAGTTGTGGCAAGTCAGTAGGGCACTGTAGTTAAGGCTTCCCAGGTTGGTCTGTCTGCAGAATCTAAGGAAGAGAATGTAAAGGCAGGGCTCTAGGACATTTTATTTGTGTCCTGGAGCTAAGTAGCCATTTAGCCATGGGTTTAACTTAATAACTGAGGCTGTGTCATTAAGCCAAGTTGAAACGTTCCCCAGGGAACAGCTTGGGCAGCCATAGGTCCTGATCTTCTGTGTCACAAAACACCAGCCTATCCTAGTTCTACTCTTAGTGCCCTCGACATGCAGCTTCTGAACGCTATTGCATCATGAAAGCAAATCTTGTCCTCTTTGCCAAGACATCACAAGGGGGCTGATTTGGGGCTCAGCCCTGACTGGTGATAAGGGACGTACCAAGAAAGCAGGGGGTTGCATGCTTGTTACTGCAGATTAGTAGGTCCTTGCCAGCTCTGATGAGTAGTTTTCAGTGATGTTTTCTAGCATGCAAGACTTATGCTTGGCAAAACAATTTTCAATCCTAGAGCAGTTTCCAGAGCTGGAAGGTGGTGAGTACCTTCTTGTTACTTGCCTTAAAGTTGAGCTTAGAAGGCTCGGCTACCTGTGAGAGAAAGGCATATCTTAAATAAACCCTTAGAGAAGGCAAAGCTTCTGAAGCCAAATGGGCATGTTAGAGACTGGTTATAGTCTCTTCTGCTTTTTAACTGCTTGCTCAGTGAAAACTACAATGTGCCAATATCCTCAGTCCACAGTTTTGTGCTCTTGGGGTTGGGTCATGCTCTCACGCTTTTTTGAGGATGTTTATATAGGCAGAGTTTCTCACAAAGTTTGAGTTGATGCCCCTAAAATCTGGTATTTTTTTTCATCTTTGTCAAAGAAATTCTCTGATTTATTGGTCTAGTAACCAGCCTAGTACCTTAAGAGAAGATATTACAAACCTTTTTTCTTTTCTTTTTTTCTCTCTCTCCCATCTTAAGTTTTACATTGGGGTAGGATGATCTAAGTCCAGTTGCAAGGTGAGGAGGAAGATAGTGCAGATACTACAAGGCCTGCCAATCTGGTTCTTATTGTTCAGAAAAAATAACTAGACTAAGAAGCTTACTGGTAATTAGTAGCTAATGTGTTTGTAACTATCATGTGCCTTAAAATTTTCATGGTAGGAGAATAAAAAAAAATCAACAATGTTTTTTCTGTAATACTGCTCGACATTCTGTAGTTTAGACTGGGATTTTGCATTGTATTTACACTGTACTATAAACTGAAACACTTAGAATGGTTTGATTTTATGAGTATGGAGGGGAAGAAAGGTGGATTATGCTTTTCATAGAACAAATGTTACCGTGACAGAATGTATTATTACTATAGGATCTTTCCATAACACAGACAAGTAGAATGCTTGTTAGAAACCAGGTATGTAGGATAAAAATTTGGTGTGTTTTCAATAAACCATGCCTGGAAAGAATACATGTGCCATTGGTTATCTTTTTTTTGTTACACCAGGTATCGCAAATATTCTTTGGCTTTATGACAGCACTTTTCTGTGGCAGGGGATTATTCAATCCTAACTCAGGTCAGCACTCAGTGTGTTAGTAAAAGGTCAGTGGTAATGGGGGAAATTGGAATATCCTCTAAACTAGTATAGCTGGAAATTGTGATTCATTGCCGTATGTTGGAGTTGTAGCATAAAAGCCCTATAAGGACCTTGGACTGCAGATCTTTTTTTTTTTTCTTTTTAATATACAAGAATATTTCCACAGGAAAAACAGTTGTGTCACTGTTTAAACGTCTGTACATTTGGGACCAAAAGCTGAACTTGCTGATGGCTTTTCCACTTGGGAAGCTATTGACATTTCCCAATTTAGTCATAAAAGCCTTGTAATTTTACAAAGATTTCACATCTGTGAAATACATGCAAGTATACTCATAAATACAAATGTATAAGAATAACAGGAAATCTGTAAGTTTGTTGGAGATGTGTGAGGTTTGGTTGAAATGAGAAAGTGATATTTTTGGGATGTGCCAAATAATTGGCTGCGGGGTGGGGGGGTGGAGTTCAGATCAAGTAGCAGCCAGTTACTGGCTCTTTTCTGGTTCATTCTCCTGAGGAGGTTCATGTGTGTTGATAAGATCAGTATGGAGATGGATGCACCCAAACACAGCATGCTTACTGACATGCCCTCACAAAGGAAGACAAAACACAGTAAATCTTGACGTAAGTGTTCTGCAAGGCCTTGCAGATGGAATGGAGGTTGGTTGTTCTGTGAGTGAAAGGTTGATGAAACACTGCTAGTTACAAGTCTGCTGTGTGTTAATGCTTCTCAGCACTGCGTGGTTCCATTTACTTGTGGATCCTTGCTAACAGCACTGGGAAGGTCATCTTCAGCTTGCCTTCCCTCCTTATGTCAGATATCCTGAATGCATACACAGAAGTTAAGTAAAATCATCTCCAGGTTCTGTGCTTGCATTTGGAGCATCTAGTTTCACAAGTGCTGCGGTAAGATGGGGGCTCCTGGGCTTAGCATCTTGCTCCTAGGTATCACTGGCATTCTACTGCAATGAGGAATCTGATTTTCTTTTTTCATGGATGCATTAATAATGGCAATGAATAGTAGATGCTGTAGGTAAGATACTGAGCTAAAACAAGTATGTTGTTTCTACAGCTGACCTTTTATAGCTGTCAGAGTGATTTCATTTCCAGCTTATCACAGGTTGGGCAAATGGAAGCAATGAGTCCCACAGGTGAAAGGTTAACCTGGGAACTACCTGGCATGAAATATCACAGCCCTCATCTGTTTCAGGTTTCAGCAGTGTCTTGGGGGAATATTCTGTCCTTATGACTGTCTTCCCCACTGTCTCTTATTGTGAAGATCTCTGTGCAACTAAAGCACAGCAGTGGCAAAATCTCATTGTGGTAAAAGCTGACAATGGGGGATTTGTTAACAGTGGAAGTTGTTTTATGACCATTAACTGAGCTGTGGAGACAGAGACAAAGACAGAGAGCTTCTTTACTTAAAGGTTAGTATGCATGCATAGCAAACATAGCAGGCTGTTGTTATTGGTACAATGCCTTATAAGTGACTCTTAATACACTTGCTCGAGTCAAACAAATGAGAATGCATCACTGATCAAGCGTTGTCATCTTTAGTAGAAGAGTTGGGATCTTGATGGCCTCTCCTCTCTGCTGCTCTCATAGGGGCTTCTACGTGTTCACTTCACTGGATTTGGCGTTTGTGACTTGTTGCTCAAAATTCGGCAGTAGGTGCTTTCACTTATATCATTGGGAGGAAGCGCTATCTCCTATACAGACATACAGTAACTGCTGTTTGCTCTGACTGGTAATTTCCTCTGTAAGGATTACTACATGAGTGCTGTTATGCTCAATCTGGTATTACATTAGGAAGCTAAAAGGGGCTGGGGCTGGGGCTGGGTTTGACTTCCTCAGGAATCCTCCGCTTCTCTTGTACACTGATTTACAGAATCAGTTTAATAGTTTGAGAGATGGCATCACGTCCCTTTGTAACAGAGAGACTGGCAGAAACCAAACTTCACTTTCATGTATCGGCTGAACCACTAAGATGACCCAGACAGTAGTTGCCATTTGGAGAATAAATCTGAATTAGCAGTATTTGGTGGGATCCATCATTTGTGACATGAGCTGTGAGAATTCACTGAAGGGTTTGTGGTGTTTTAGAGGGATTCTGACATTTTGGGAGCTTTCTATGAGTGGTATGCTCTCAGCTGATAGACTTCAGCCGCTTGCTTCCACTGTTTCGTAACTGCGTTGTGCAAGAATAGGTTGTCCTCTAATTGCTATAGACTGATACTGCACTAACACTCAGTAGGTTTTTAGACTATATCTAAATGAATTGGTTAGAAGATCCACTGCCTACATTTTACTTCTCCCAGTATTCAAAGCATGACTTTCTTTTGAAAAATAACTCTTCTCCCTGGGAGATTTCACATTTATGTGTCAATGACTCCACATCATATTTTCTCAACTGACCAAAAGGCTTTTTTCTAATAACCAGTCATGCATACTCAGTCAGGCTTTTTCCTTTTCATCCCTTGCCACCAATAATTATAAGCATTTCAGAAGTGTGGTCAAGTTGAAAATTTTTTCTTGCATGTGAAATTTTGTAAATAATCTGATGATATGTTAGCTGGAGGGCTGGGGTTTTGGTTTTTTTTTACTGCTTCTCCTATGGGAGATTCTTTCTAATGAATTAAAATACCTTTTTTGTACTAAAAAGTGGCTGTTATATATTTGCATATATATTACATACGTGTTATTCACTAATGCATCTTTTGAAACACCATGCTAACTTGAGAAGTTCCTTCCTTCCCTACTTTTCTTGATGGTCTCTCTGCAGTTATTTTAGCCGTGCAGAATGGTGTTAGCTAATAGTAGGAATGTGTTTTTGCACAGAAGCCTTCTGCCTGCATTTACTGTTATGCAACTTTCAGCATGTATCTATGAGACTTTGGTTGGTGTACCAGTATGTACAATGCATTGCTCCAGCAGAAGTGTCTGCTTGGTGCAAAAATATTTAAAACTAGAAGTGAAAGAGGACTCTTTGGAGTCATGACCTTAGGTGTACAGAAGAAAAAAAAATCACCTATAAGCATCCAGACTTCCCAGTGTACTCTATGAACTTATGTATGCCAGTAAATGGACTTGAATATGATTTTCATCATTGCAAATTTTGCAAAGATTGCCTGAAATCACCTGAGAAGCTTTGGCCCAGTGACAGCAAGTTGAGCAGAAATACTAAGAGGAACTGCTGCTAAGCAATCTTGCAGAATAAATCATTGACTCATTTCGCAATGTGAGATGGAGGCCTCAGAACACTGGGATTCCTCCTACACAGCACAGCACGACACAGCCACGAGGGACAACTTCTTCACAGTCTGATTTGGCATAGTAAATCTTGTGCCTTTCCCAGCTGTGACAGAGTTTAAATTGTTACAGAAACTCCAATAACTTTGCATTCTAATATCCCTGTGAAATACAAGCTTTACAAGCTGGCTGGGTCACTGTGTTTGCTTGGTCCAGTCCTAAACCAACCATGTCACCTTTGCTTGTTCTAGTTTCCTTTTTTACTGGGCAGAAATTCTCTACCATGCTTTTTACTGCTATCCTGGAGATAGATTTTCTATAGTACCCAGGCCAGGATAAAAAACACTTCAGTAAGGGGATATAAAAGGACGTGGCTTAAAACAGCTCTGTAAGACTCTGTAACTATAATCCCTGATTTTCACTTTGTATTTCAACTGTTGGGTCTTTCTGTGGCTGTTCCAAGGCTGAAAATCACAAGTGCAGTGCAGAATTCATCCATAACAAAGGAAGTCATGTGCCTGCTCTTACTATTCTTTTTTTTAGTTTTTACTTATAAACGTGACCATTGCCTCATTATATAACAACTGGACATGCCACAAAATGCCAGTGGATTGTTGCCTTGTTCAGGTGAGTTAGACACTTCAGATTTGATTCTATATTTTCACAGTGGTAACATTTGCTATTTACATAGCGTTCAACTACAACGCTCAGGTTAACCAGGGTGTGCAGGAGCCACCTGGGAAGACCGAGTATCTCTGCTGTCATCATTATGCAATGCCTTAGACATACAGAGTGCTTGTCTAGAGTAATCTGCGTGCTCTGCCCCTAAGAAGTACTTGCTATGTATGTACAATGTATTAAGGCGGTAAGTAAATGTAATGATCTCAAGGTTTCAGTGATTTTACGTAATTCTGGTATTCTGTTCAAAAGAACTTGCTCCTTTTATCTGTTATTGTGTTTATTTTAATGCACTTACTTCTTCAGTTTTCCATGCCTCCACATGTGCAGCTTAATAATCTTGTTCGCACTGCCTTCTGCAAAATTCTGTTTTATTTTCTCATCATTGCATGGGTCTCTCTTCTTTCAGCGCATGCCCTTTTTTCCAGCATACTGATGATGAACATTTGCAGTAACTATGCAAAAATGCATCTGCTATCACTGTAGGAGCCTTCACTGCATGAAGTGGCATGCTAGTAATTTAGCAAAATCACTGTGTCTGAGATGCTCTTTTCCTGCAACGTGCATGCTTTCTTCACTCTTGAGAATGAGTAGTTAGTTTAGCTTTGGGACCCAAGTTTTCAGAAGCTGCAGTGATTTTCTCCACCCCACCCCTACCCTAAACTGTGGTTGCTTGGGTTCGAGCTCAAAGTAACAGACTGTGTTCAGTGATGTGTTAGTCAAGGCAAGGCAACATACATCACCTTGGTTTGCAGAACTATGTGAAACAACAGAAACAGGTCTTTGAGCAGTTACTCTACTTACACGCTCCAGATCTTGATTTCCACCTGGCCTAAAATGATCTCCACTAGAGCTTGCTTTAATTAAAGGCTCCAAAATACAAAAAGCAAAATGTAAAGCACAGACAAGTTAATCTGTGCAGTTGCATTTACATAATTTGAAACAGAAGTTGAGTATTGATGGCTCTCTTCATCCCAAAAATACAGCCTTTTCCATAGCATCCTCCACTTGCATATATTCCAGATGAGCTGGGTAGTTAGTGCATTGGAAACGGGGATTGTTGCGGATATAGTTAAGGAATTCTGGAGCTCCTGGGTAGATGACATTGTCAGCCAGAAGAACTGAGCCCTTCCTCAGCAAGTTGCATTCCTAGAAAGAAGAGAAATTGCTTCATGGTGACTATTAAGTGGACAGGGGTTTGAATGTCATGTTCTTTTGTGTTAGCCATGTCACACTCAAGAGCCTGCATCCAAAAACCCATTGTACTCTGGGTTTGGAGGGTAGAGAAGACATGGGAGAAGCTGAACAACTCTCTATCCAATCTTTAGTGGTCATAATTACTACGCTGGCTTTTTCTGCTAACACAACTGGAAGAGCCTTAGTGATGTTGATAAGGTGTTGCATCATTCAGGTTTTCAAATAACAAGTGCAGTGCAGGTATGCAGTTAGCTGCTCATGTTGTTTCCAACTACGTCAAAGTGGTTAGTAAGATCGTTCTGTTTTGGCTTTCAGGCCTTGAAGCTTTCTTTTCGTATGGCATTAAAATGTTGTAGTAGCTGTTAAGGCCACCTAAGAGATTGGCATGTACTGGACTGCTTTGGTCAATAACAGTCAAGCCCCAAAATCACGAAAAAAACCAAACAGATGTTCTGAGCTTCTTTTCCTCTCTTCTTGGCCAACCTTCTGCTACTTTGTTCAGCAGCAGAGCATGAAGTACGGTTTGCATGCAAGGAAGATCAGTCTGACAAATTTCCACAGGGCGTAATTAACTTGCAATATTCACCTGAAGTTCAACGTTTATCCTCAGTAAACCTAAAAACATAATTTTTGCTGGAATTTTTGTCTAGTAGAAGTTGCTTATCTGAGCTCACCAGCTATTTTAGAACAGAAAGCCTGTACTTAATCAGGCTGGTTGCTATCCTGTGGTTACAGGCAGCAGCCGTAGCTGAAACATGGGCTAGTTTTTGTCACTCCCAGTGTATTAGAGCGTTCCTGTTGATGAGTGTGCTAGTGGAGGCTGCTTAGCTTACTGCTCTCACCTCTGGTGACTGAACACCAGGCAGCACAGTAGAAGTGTTTTTAGAGACATGGCAAATTTCCTCTGGTCTGTTTCTATTGTGCAGATTAGAAGCCTGTGAGTGACAACGCGCTGTATTTCCCACCAGACATCAGGATTTCCGATGCTCTTTGTGCCAGGCTTTTTCTAGAACTGCATGAAGAGGAATGATATCTGGGCCACTTGAAATATGCGCCACAAATATGAGTTAGAAAGAGGGTTTGTGACGTCTGAGAAAATGTGGTGGGGATCTTCATCTTTCTCCCCTGAAATTCACAAGTGTTTTTTTTTTTAAGCAAGGCAACTTTGTGTCACAATTGCGTCAGGCTACTCCACTAGGATGGAGCTAAACCAGTTTGCTTTGGCTGTGTTGTAAAGGTTCAGCTCTGATAAGGATGTCCTAGCTCCTCCCAGTGGAAAGAGCTCAGTCATGATTACACAGCCAGTTTAAAAGAAAACATTCTCTGGATACAAAATAATTGGAGGAGGGGACATTTTCTCTAGCTACTGATATGTAAATTCAGTGCTTGCTGTTCATAATCCCAAACAAATCCTCTCCTTTTCAAACAGATGTCTGGACAGGGGTGAAATTAAAAAATGCGTGTTTGGATGAGAAAACAGTGTTTGTAGTCCTCAAGCAGGGTGAGGACATAGTTGGTGGACAGACTTGCTGGTTCTCCGTGTAAGAGGCAGCCTAAAAAAAGTGGATTTATTGTAAAGAAAATAATTGAAAAATGGCCCTTCCAGCCAAATAGGCAGTTCAAGAAAGCTTTATTAGGCTGCAACTCCCAAACTAGGAGAGTATCTGTGTGTGTCCAGTGTTTATAGACACAGATATTCTGAATCGGAGCTTTTTAACGCTTCATCTTCCCATCCAAAAGTGCTCTAGTGCACAGTTACCTCACTTTTAATGCTACCTACTGCTATTACAGCCAACTCATTTTGTAAAGATAACAGGAATGGTTAAGGGGAGGGCGGAAGAAATGAGTAGAATCTTTCTTCATTCAGGGCTGGAGATAGAGTTGGACAGCACTTTTCTAGCAAGTGCCTGACTGGGACAGTCTGCACTCTTCTAGAGGTTGCGTTACAGCCAATCAATTAGGTGGAGTAAAGACTCCCAGAAAGATAATACCCAGCTGTGCTACTAAAACAGGATTCATGAGGCTCTGTTGGCAGCACAGCCCCAGGCAGAAGTGGAGGAGTTGGTACTCAGGAAATTAGAGCAGCAAATATGCAGGTCCTGAGTCTGGCCTGCTCCTACATCCAGGATGTTTGGCTCAAGTGTGCTGGTTAGTGTCCACGCAGATACTCCCTCCAGGGAGAGCAAGTCCCAGACACTGCACTCTTCCAGCTGGGATTTTTACTGCAGACCCATTTGTTCAGGAAAAAGTTCACCAGTATTTGCAAAGTCCTGAGGTTATCAGTATTTGCAAAGTCCTGAGGTATGTCTTGTGGGCAGTTGTCCCTAAGAAAGGTTTGGGATCCTATCTCCTATATCCTTTCTTGTAAGGTTGCTATTTTAACTGCCATTTTTCATTTTACAGGATGAGGCCCATCATACAGAATACAGGCCTCACAGACATCTGGGCATTTGCTACTTTATTTTTAGGACTGGAATTGTGCAAACTCACCTGAAGCAGGATGGTGTCTGGTGAATACTTGTCTTTCCAGTGGTCAAGAAAGACAAAATCCAGAGTATCCACTTCATATTTTTTCTTCAGCTGGGGGATAATTTCCTCTGAAGGGCCTTCAAGGACTTTTACCTGTAATGCAAATCCATCTGATGAACTGTGGACCATTAAGAAAGAGCTCATGCCTCTAGCTCTTCTTAAGTTGCGGCCAGGCATAGCTCAGTGCAACCTCAGTTGAGTTATTTGCTAGAGTGAGATCACGTGGACTTGTTTTAACAAATTGACTCGGTTATGTTTCAAAATATTTTTTCTCTGTGCTATTATATTTAAAAAAAAAATCTATGACCTTGTTTCTGTTGGGTGAAGTGACTCTCTATGGGCAACAAGGGAATCTATTGTTGAAAACACTACTTGTATTATTTTGGCATTTTCATTGCATCTCAGTCGAATCTTGTAGCTCAACAGGAAGCAGAAGATACAGAGAACAGGTTGGTTTAGAACAAAGCTGGAGGCTACGCTATGTAAGATTAATACAGCCAGTAAAGAGAGGTAGCAGGAGCAAGACTATTACATTTGCCTCACAGGTTTATTGGCCTAAGCACTGTTCAACTGAAAGAAGCTGCTACATGCTGATTTGTTAAGCAAGTACCATATACTGGGGGTGGATGAAAAAAGTGGTAAGGAAATGTGACTGGCTTATGACTCATAGTTGATCAGGAGACTAACTCAGATGGGGAAATGCAATTTGAGATGTCGCTACTACTTTAGATTCTCTTCGAGAAGTTAAGAAACACATTAGACAATCTTACATTGGCATTCATTTGCTCTATTTTTATCATTTATGTTGAAGCAAGATGTTGAATCTGTTGTCCAGATTGTCTTGTCAACAGAGAGGCACTTCTTGGGCATGAATCCTCTAACCTGCTGTAGATGTCTGCCTTGGGTTGAGACAGATTATAGACTGGAAATACCTGTGTCTCAAATGACCGTACAGGGAGTCAAGACATTGCAGATTGCCCAAAATATAGGCATCTGTGTTGTGACCATCTAGATTTGAACAGGTATGTCTCATCTGAAGTCCACTGCACATAATACAACTGCTTCCTGTGAGCTTTTGTAACAAGTTGGACTGTCGTTCAGTTTTCTGTCATACTCAGTCTTGACACTGATTTGAACCTGTTAGTTTATAAGCAGGAAAGCAATGTTCTAGTCTGGCTTTGGTGGAGGGTGACACAGTGAATTACTCAGCTGTACTCCTGTGAAATGTCAGGGAGTGTAAACTAGGCAAGAAGTTAGTTAAACTAACGACTGCTGTTGGTGCAAGAATAAAGGAAAACAAAATATCCATGAATAAATATGGGCTGGAAATCATAGAAAGGTTTCTGATTATCAGGAGAAGGAGTTTGTGTGGGAATCTTGCAGTTGCGTAATAGCAGCAAATCTGACCAGTTTTGCAATAGTGATTGCTAATTTTAAGACTTTGTGAGCTGATGTCCTGTGACTATAAGAAGGTGAAACAATTGACCCAGGAGCTCCCCTCCAGGCCTGTATTCTTACAGTCACTATGGGCTTTGATAAAAGCCCATAGTGAACTGTCAGCAAACTGCCTACTGCAGTAATCAGTAAACGGTAAAGAGGCCAAACAAGAAGATGAAGCCTAAATGCTTTCACATGTTAGGAGATTTGGATTGAAGTAATTGGTTCTGTCCTTGCCCCTCTGAATCCTCATTCAGACTCACACTGCAGAGAACTTTGGAGAACAGCCCTGGCCATTTTAGTTCCACCCCCCCGAGTCTTGACAACCCCAAAATTCTACCATGACCTCCCACTGGGTCTGAATCGTATTTGGGCCCCTGACTGCTGTTAAGTCCTTTAGCTCACTTACAATGTATATGCAAAAGAACAAATGACCATGGCTTTCTGCATGGAGACCTTACAACTTCACCAGTTTTCCCTGGTATCAAGCCTGTCCGTTAAATTCTGCTTGCTCCCAAACATTTAGGATGCTGCACTTGCTTGACAAGTAGAATAATACATTTAAACCTATCATTGCTGTTTCTTTGGATATATTCCCAGTTTCCATGCATCACTGCCCCATACCAGCCACAGACACAGGTAAATGGTATTTACCTTATCTTGTACTCCAGCAAACTCGATCATCTGTTTAGCTATTGCAGCAAACTCTGGGTTGAACTCCACAGTGAGGAAACGAGCACCAGCTTTCAATAGCCGAGCAATCCTAACTGCTGAGTAACCACAGTATGTTCCCAGCTCCAAAACAATTGATGGTTTGATCTCCTCCACTGTCTTGTCTAGAATTAAACCTGAATAAAATGGAAATGGGTTAACTTTGGACAAAATCAAACTGGTTCATAGACAGAAAGGTAAGTTAGTAATGAGAAACTTAAAGTCCAAGCGCTCAGTTGCTCAGGACATTCAAAATTTAAGGGTTGATGTCAAACTATATACTGTTTCCTTTGCAAACTGGCTTGTCTGTGACCAAGTTGATCATGAACATTCTAATATTCAAAATGCAGATTTTCAACTACTAGAAAAATCCTAGCTTTGCAATATAAATATTTCTGAGTGAGAAAATGCCTGAGTTAACTGAAACATTTTTAGTGTTACAAGGGAAAAATGCAGTGTTTTATTTCCAAGAACTTGTTGCAGAACCTGACTGAATTTGTGAACTACAAAATGCCTGAATTTTGAGTGCTCATAATTTGTTGCAAATGCTATTTGCCGTAATCTGATATAAAACTTCTTATCCTAAACGGTTGTTTTCCGAGGGGAAAAAATTTAATTATAAAGTTGCAAAATATTTGGATTCCCCAGATGACTTCATGGGATGGAAAACATTAGTCAATTGTTAACAACAACAACAACGTTCCCAAAATGAGGTGCCAACCTACTATATCCAGAAGACAGGAGAAGAAAGATTTCATTGTCAGAAAATCGTTCCCTCTCTTACTTGTACGGACAGACACTAGATAGCTAATCTTAAAAGGTATTTGAAGGGATTTTTTTCTGACCCATCTATTTTCTCAATACACATATACATTTTATTATGTGATTTTTTTTTTCTTATGGGTCATTTGTTTGTGAATAGTATGATGTGTTACCGCTTGCATTTGAGATTGTGGTCACTCTGGAAATCTTAGGAATTAAAAATGTGTTAACTTTCTACAGCTCATCTGAGGAAAAGCCATCTTGTCAGAGCAAAAGTAGAGTGAAGCTTTTTAGGAACATAATCCCAAATGATCTAAGTTTAGAGCTTTAACAATTCCTGCTCAGCCGCTGTCTACTGTTTTATTGCCCTAAGCACCCTAGCATGGTATGCAGAGGATGCCCACGACGTAGGAGTATTTTTATTACAGTGCTTACAGTTGTGTTTCACTAGCTATGTTAATCCTAGACTAAGCAAATTCCTCTAACAATTTCCCACCAGAAAGTATATACTCTAGGAAAAGTTTTTGTATTTAATTCCCAAGGGAATATGTTAACATTTTGCCAATACAGTTTTATGAAGACACTGTCACTTCCCTGCATCTAAGAAAAAGAAAATAATGTTTTGTCCAGGTAGTTTATTTTAGGAGATGAGAACAAGATGATTTACTTGCTAAGTAGCAGCAAAGTCTGATAGCTGCATTTGTGTATTACATGGGTAGGCTCTCTCCCTTCAAAAGTACGTTGTCTTTAACTTGTTTGCAGATACAAAATACATATGGTTTAAAATACTTCACTTCTTTATATAGCATCTTTCAGTTGAAAATCTGAAAGTGCTTCACAAAGTGAATTATGCTTCAAAGCCACCCTGTGTGAGAAGTGAGATACAACGTAGCTCTAGAGTTTTCCATAACTTGTCACCCTTTGCTTACACAGTTGCAGTGTACACAATACACAACACCAGATTTAGTTTCATGACTTCTGGATCTCACTGGAGACCCATTCTCAAAGACATCTGCACAGGCATGCATTATTGTTTGCAGAATTATTTTGCTGACCACAAGGCTGCTGTGGCTCTTTTTTCAGCAGACAGCAGAGGCCATGTGAATTCAGTAACACGTCCGGTACCGCACTAGTCTCAAAGGATATTTCAAGAGCAATCCCTGATGCAATTACCTTTCTCATTGCCCACGTTCATCGCCCACTCTTTCTGGGAGCAGTACTTATCTATAGTGTCCACGACACTACAGGGGTCCCCTCGGACTGCATTCTGCAGCACAAAATTTAAAATCCTCTGTTCTTTGCTCTGATTCATGATGAAATTGGTTATTTTCTCCCGGATTATTTCATTCCAGATAAGGGCAGCAGTGCCATTTTTCCTGATGAGTACCACAAAGAGCAGCAGAAGGAAGAGCAGGACGAATACAATGAACAAAAGGATTGAAGAGCTCTCCAGCATCTGGAATGAAAGAGGGAAAAACAGCCCAGGGTTAAGGAGGCACAGGAGAGAGCTATTTTTTAATGTAAATATTAAGCTGAATAACCCACAATGAACCATCCTGAACAGGAACACAGAGTTTAATTACTGCACTGTGCAGAATAGCTGAAAATGGCTCTCTGTCACTCAGTGATGCATAGCGCTCTGTGGCACTCCCTTTAGAAGCTAATTTTACAGGCAGTCAACAAGTGGCTTTATTTAATGCTCTGATCCCTTCCCCCACACAGCTGCTCAGTCCTGTCTCCAAACATGCCACCGCACAAGGAGGCTCTTAATGAGCATCAAACGTGTTCTAACCATTTTTTAAAAGATTTAAAGTCTTAAATAATTAGACTCTGCATGCCATCTCACTCTAATTTTGGAGCACTGGAAAACTTCTGAGCTAGCCTTGGTAAGACAACAGCAAACTCCTCACCTTTTAATTTTGAGCTACCTTGCATGCAGACCTTGTTAGCCCCTGCTCTTCTGGCATGCTCTGCAGAGAAACTGAGGCTGGATGTTTCAGTAGGACTCAAGCTGCTGGCCCCCTCCTTCCAGAGCTTGCAGGAGAGATAGCCAGGTGGCATGGCTTACAGAAGATGGCAACCTTTTCCCTACTCATTAAACCTTTGACATGAGCCATCAATCTGACACTTCTGAGAACAAAAGAGATTATATATATATATATATATTTATTTTTTTTTTTTTTTTTTTAAGAGGGGCTGTTTTCTCACTGGTTATAAAAATGCAAAGCTAAATTCCTAAATTACAGAAGTGCCCAGGCTCGTGGAATTCAAGAGATGTAACAGAAGAGCCCACTGTTTTTCTCTGAGGGGCAGGCTGCAGTTTTCTGATGTGATTGTGCTTATTCTTCCCCTGAAATTCAGCGTCATAGCTACAGGTTCCTGTGTGTGTGCAGGACAGGTATTGGACGTTCGTGTGTGTGTCTTGTCTCTGTGAGTTCAGGGCATCTGAACATAAAGCTCACCAGATGGGATGCATGTCACCCGGTACAGCTCAAGCAATAAATCCTGTCAAAGCCATTTACTCTGAGGGGTTTCAGACAAGACAGCATATAGGAAGACGCTCTTATTTCCATGCAGGAGTCACAGCACAAAAGACCTGATAAGAAAGGATTCTTAAAATTAAAGATTTAGCCTTTGAGAGAGTGCAAAACTAAGGGTTGTGGCTTGCTTGAGGCTCTGGCTAAGCTCCTCTCGTACAACACAAAACACACCTCGTTTCTGATCATGTAGCTTGCAACACCTCTACTTTTCCAGCTGCCTCCCACAGCAGGGGCTGACAGCTGCATGCTGGGCGGAGAGCACAGGTTGGAATGTGCTCTAGTTAGCAGTAGGACGAGTGAATGTGAGGTTTGTTTGTTCTTGAAATCTAATGCGTCATTTGAACATAGGTCTAAAGGATTCGGAAGCTATTTCTTAACCATAGTACGCTGCCTTGAATAGGGTCAGTATGGTGAGTTTTTAAACTATTTTTTTAAACAACATGCCACTCAACTCGTGGCAGTCTCTGTTTCCTTCTGTTAAGTCTTTTTTGTCTTCCAGCTTGCTAAAAATGGTGAACAGCTTCTATCTGTAATTGTATTAATGTTCTACCTACCCAAAGTTCAGCAGAACCATTGCTGCAACAGGAACTACAAGAAGTTCCTCGAAAGTTTTGCCTAAATTGCCAGAGACCAAAAGTGAAAGGGCCATATGATTAGCCCAATATTCCCTAGATCTCTTCCTACCTATTCTTGCTTCCCTTTTTGTTTGTTTTCCTCAAAATTTTCCCCAGCAAATCCAAAATATTAATGGTGGTCAGGCCTCCATTCTGTAGAGTGACCTGTACATGTATGTTACACGTGAGACAAATCTATCCCAGTACTTGAAATTTTGCATCACCATGCAGAGCACATTTTGAGTTCAGAAGATGACTGAGTTGCCATGGAGACATGCTCAGCCTACAGTACAGCTGATGTGTGTTCACCCATCACCTACCATAGTTGCATAGCAAGTGTAATTTGTTTGGAGCCCTTAAAAGTCTATTTCTTCTTCTGCCTTCAAATAGTCATCAATGTTAATACTTACCTTTCTAATGTTTTCCTTGCAGAGACCGACCTGAGATACTTCCTTTCAGGGCTCACTGGTATCATTAGCACATGAAAATCTTGCTTCTTGGGTTTTCTGAATTTTGTTTCCTAGGCAGTAAGAAGCTTCTTCTGTGAGTCAGTAAGAGGATGAAGGTCTGAATGTCAGTTTTTCTCCTTTCCTTCCATGCACTAGCAGTTCTGCTGACCAGTCATAAGTCAAAATCCTGGGCCTTTCTAGATGGAGTTTCTGCTCTTTTCAGTCCCTCTCCACAAAGTTGCTCCAAATCACCTGTCAGCTGGGGGCTTGGCTTGGACTATGAAAATGTTATTGGTTTAACAGAAAAATATCTTTTTTGTTGATGTCCCTTGGCTCTCATGGCTTAGTCGACAGTATGGCCACAGTTGCTGGACTGGGATTATTGACGTAGCAGAGAGGCGATAAGCGTTCTGAACTGCAAATGAATGGACGGAACCCAGGATCCATTTACCGATGCCAGTGGATGTCTAACCTTCCTGGCTCTAAACAAAAGGATCACCGCGAGCCATGCCTACCAGTGACTTGTTGGGTAGCAGTCCAACTATGCTCAGGCACTTTTAGACTTTTAGAGCTAGAGCCTTTCTTGGCATTCTGAATCATTTCAAAGTTTTGCCAGACATAACCCTCCGGCTACAATGGATATTTCAGCATCTGCTGAGTTAAACTGATATAAACTGTTGCTTTGGCATTAGGCTATTTTGCCACTATGTTTGAGACTGTCCTTCAAAGATCTGTCAGACAGCAAGAATGGATGACAGCTGCAGGATGAACTAGGTTGCATATTTCTAGGGGAACAGCTTTCCTCCTGTATTGCTCAGTATATATATAAGACCACCTGGTGAGATTTTGCAAACAAGGAGCAACAGCATCTGTAGATTAATCTTTATAGCTAGGAATTGTAAACTTACTTTGCACTGAACCCTATTAACTCAGCCCAAGTCTCTGTCCTGCAGAAATGCTAATACTTTTTTTCTGACAGGAATCAGACTGTGAAGAGTTCTTTTCATACCTTAACAAAAAGGATTTGTTTAGAGGTTTAAAAACCTGCCCCTTCATTTTCATATTGCTTCCCAGCATAGAAGAGCATATTGGCAAAGTTTTCCAGTGTGTAATTTTCCAATCCTGCAATCCTGCTACAATTTTTTTTTTTTTTTTTTGCAAAATTGCAAAACATCATATGATCACGTGTATAAAGAAGGCCTGCCTCTCCTTTGTCTGTAGTCTGGAAAACACTATTGCTTAACACGTCTCTGTTAGCTAGCGGAGAGAAAAGCATTCTACCCAGATTACGCCTGCTGATGTTTAGTAACGTCACCTGATTTGACAAACTGAAATATATCACCCTCATCCTTATCTGAACAGCAGTATCCTTTAACAATTTTGTTGTTACAAAAGAGTGCACTTAGTGGTGTGGAGCAAAACACCTTGTTTTAGATGTACATGAACTATCTTTTTCAAAGGCACAGATTGTATTCAGGCTGCTGTTGGCCTTCGGCTGCCACCCATGGCAGGTACTGCAGTATGAAATCCCGTGATACCAAGAAACAACTAGCTTGACAAAAAGGCGTAATTTAGTAAATGCTCCTGAACATAGCTAGCCACAGCCTTCTAACCCTTCTAGCCATCCCTTAAGCAAAAGCCTGAGTAAGCAGATAGCCCTTTCAGCTTGTCTGGAATACCAACAACTGCTGGCTCTGCTGGGCCATCTGGGAAACAAATTCTGGATCTCATGCTGTGAGTAATGGGTCTTGTTGTCTCATATGCACTCAGGAATCACCTTTGAAGGCAAAATACAGATTTGCGTTATCTCTTCCTGTCATAATGGAGCTAGATCAGGGAGCGACTGTTAGCACTGGTTTGCGTACATGTTTTATCCAACAGATATTTCTCAAGAAGAAAAAAAAAGGTGTATGTTTTAGGGATGGTCTTGGAACTAAACCTTAAGCAAGGAAATGATTCAACTTGGCCATTCCCATGATCAAGTGCTTAGAAGGATCCATTTCTTAAAGTGTTTCCGTTAGATCCTTGCACATATGAATCCCACAGTTGAATGCCACCACAGATAATAGCACAGTCCACCTGCTGCCACAGATCCTTGGAGTTAAAATTTGGTCACTGGTAGCAAGAACCTAGGTGATACATGTTGCTTTTTTCCCATTCCTAGATGAGCTCAATTTTTTTTTTTTTTTGCTGTACTGAGGATTATTTTTCAATTATTGGGTTGTTTTGTTTTTTTTTTTTTAACTGCTGTACAACGCCCCAGCACCTTGGTAAACTCGCAATACAGGTTGCTTTTAGCAGTGCTCCTTTGAGAGGTAATCCTCTTGGAAAAGTTTCCAGAGAAGGTAAGTTTTAAAAGGAACAAAACTTGTCTTGCCTCTTTATTCTTTTTTTTTTTAAACACAGTTTCTTTTTCCAAGTTTGTCCTTCTTTTCATCTCAAAACAATTTGTGTCTTCTTGGATGTGAAAATAAATTTAGTGATAGCACTAGACAGTACAAGCAGCTTGTCAAAAGCATGATGCACTGGTACTGGTCATGTACCCAGAGGGAAAAAATTTGTACCAAAATAGGTAATAGTTTTCATATTCTTAGCTGGCAAATATTTGATATGAAAATTAAGTGTGTAATTCAACCAATTTAAAACTACCACTACATAAGAGATAGTCATGTTATGACAGGTTTAGAAAAATGCAACTGTCATTTTAGCTTTAATGTGGATTCATGAGATTCATTAAATATGCAGTAAAACTGAACTTGCACATAGACAAGTTTCCTGTAGCCACTTATCACAAGGCAGTCACTCCTACTATTTAATGCTTGTTTTGAGGGTCCAAATACATGTTAGCACTGCAACCTCTTCAATGTGTTAGAAACACCTTGATAAAGTGATCTTTCTCTTTGAAGGGTAAAATTTGAAGTGGAAAACAGTAGGAAAATGTAAAATGAAGCAAGGGAGTAAACAGAAAACTGGAAGGATAATGTTATAGAAAGGGATGAATAACATGTATCACTAAATCTGTTTTCAAGAAGACAGAATTTAAAAGAAAACGTATTAAAATTTCATGCTCAAACCTGTCCAACTTCTGTCAAGTCTTTCTAAAGCACTGGGTTATTTTCTTATGCATCTCATCTTACTCTTTTTGTCAGATTTCGTAAGACCAAATCATGACTCGATAACGCAGTTCAGCATTTTTCCCCTGATGCCTTTAAATAGGAGTACCTCTGTTTCAGTTTACAGAGATTTAAAAATGCACCTGCAAAGGAAGAAGCAAACGCAAACTGTAAAAATCTGCTGCCCCAGCTTACTTGCCCTTGAACACAGAATACCTAAATCATTTCAATAGCTTTAAAAGAAGCTTCAAAAGACTGGTTCAGACTTAGGCATCTGTTATTACAGCAATAGTTGTAAAGTTAGAGAATTCCTGCCCCAAACTGTTATATGGTCTACAATTTTTATAAAAATACATTTAAAAAAATGCCCTTGTGATTCAGCACAAAAAAAAAAAAAAGATGCATCCTTGTTTTTTATTCTTGTAAAGGTGACTCCTGTCACTTCACCAAAGATTACTGTAAGGACCTTTTAGTAATGCTATTTATCAGTCATTCTGGTGAATTCTTCCAAGCACTATTATTACAAAATATTTGGTCTCAGAATTCCCTAAAGTGAAAAAAAACAGAAGTAGACAAATGGTGGTATCAATTTTTAAGGTAACTCCAAATAACCAGATGGAATTCAAGTTGAGATTTTTTGTCAGTGTTTCATAAAAACTGTATGAAGTCTTCATAACAGTATTAAAGGAAGGTGTATGCGAATTTATTCTAAACTGGTGATTGCTACTGTTTCTCTGTTGCCTTCCAAAACAACCTCTCTCTTCTAAAAACTGGTATTTACTGAGAAGAAAAATACGTATGCTGAAAGTAAACAAGTTTAAATACTTTGATGTTTAGTAAGGACCTATGCCTTAGTAGGTTTGGCACTTACGGGTTTAAA